ATTGTTAATGATTTTAAAGTTTCAGGGGATTTTTAAGGATAATTTTAATTGATCGGCCTATTTAAATATTTCTTTTTAATTCGGCTTTTAATTATTGTATTTGTATTGTAGTTTTATGAGGCTGTTAGCCGCCCTGAGTCCCATGAGGAGAAGGGCGGGGTATAAATTAAATTATAAATAAATAAATAAATAAAAATAAATAAGTCCAGTGAATTTCCAGAAGAAAACACTGACAAGCCATTTGTGCCTTGTTGTGCCAAGAGAACAGCACAAATGAATTCCTGTAGTTTCAACCAAGCTCAGCTTGACTCAAGGAAAACTTTAACTTTCTTTCACACATATTTTCACACAGAGTCGCCTGGAGGATCCTATACAACAGTTTGTTTAGTGACTGTTCGTAGTTACAACAGCGCTGAAAAAAAAGTGAGTTACGGCAGTTTTTCCCATTTAAGACCGTTGCAGCCTCTCCATGGTCACGTGATCCAAATTCAGAGGCTTGGCAACTGGCATGTACTTATGATGGTTTCAGTGTCCCGGGGGGGTGTCACGTGATCCCCTTTTGCGACCTTCTGATAAGCAAAGTCAATGGGAGGAAGCCGGATTCACTTCACAACCGTGCTACTAACTTATCAACCGCAGTGATTCACTTAACAGCTGTGGCCCAAAAGGTCGTAAAATGGGGCAAAACTCACTTAATAACTGTCTCGCTTACGAACAGAATTTTGGGTCTCAATTGTGATCGTAAGTCAAGGACCACCTGTATACTCTTCTGTAAGCATTCAGCTCTAAATTCATTTGATCTTGGTGTAATTATCGTGTATACATTAATGTATACGATAATATATGTACACTTCTGATTTGCATATTTTCTTCTCTTTTTTCGCAGCACTGTTGTTGCTACAAACGAGCACAGCTTTTCAAATCGTATGTATATGCAGTGAACCAAGCTGCTATTCTTAACACACAGACTCCACAAAACCTCAAAACATTGCGGTGAGCGTGAGACAATCTGAGGGATATTTACCTCTCGGTGGGCAACTTCCAATTTCTTGCACAATATCAGTAACAAAAAGCTATAACAAAACTGCTTCTGTATAGTATCCAAGAAAGCTGTCCATTATGTCAGCGGGAGCTTTATTTACCACGTCAAACTCCTCCAGATGTTCTTTCTTATACTCCTAAGTGGGATTTTGGTCCCTGCTCCTGGTGTTTATTCTTCCTGACTCCAGCTATTCTGGATTTTTTTAACGCTTGTTATCTCTCCATCAATGCCCACCAGTTTTGGCACCCTTTATTTCCTCATTTATTTATTTGTTTGTTTGTTTGTTTATTTTAAGTTTGGGGTGCTGTAGACCAAGGGGCAGTCCTATCCAGCATCTTTTCTCTTCTAAGGGAAGAAAAAGCGGAAGAAGAGAGACGGGCCTTGGCTGACTGAATCCAAAAATGAAAGAAATGGAATGCTCCAGTTTCCTCAACAGATACAAAAATATCTCATTCCTAAAACTTAACTGTTGGAGGGTCTGCCTGGAGTGTTTTTTCTGGGTAGTGAAAAGAAGTGAATAATTTGATTCTCCTCCTTTGGGGGAGGGAAGTGCTGTCTTCCTACACCAGGGGTAGGCAACCTTGGCTCTTTTATGACTTGTGGACTTTAACTCCCAGAATTCCTGAACCAGCCATGCTGAGGGGAAAGGGAGAGGTTTCCAAGCTGAGCCATGCTGGCTCAGGAATTCTGGGAGTTGAAGTCCACGAGTCATAAAGGGGCCATAGTTCCCCCATGCTGGCTCAGGAATTCTGGGAGTTGAAGTCCACCAGTCATAAAAGGAGCCATAGTTCCCCCATGCTGGCTCAGGAATTCTGGGAGTTAAAGTCCACCAGTCATAAAAGGGGCCATAGTTCCCCCATGCTGGCTCAGGAATTCTGGGACTTCAACTCCCAGAATTCCTGAGCCAGCCATGCTGAGGGGAAAGGGAGAGGTTTCCAAGCTGAGCCCTGCTGGCTCAGGAATTCTGGGAGTTGAAGTCCATGGGTCATAAAAGAGCCAAGGTTGCCTACCCCTGTCCTACACCATGAAAGACACGGAAGATTTGATCAAACCAGAAGAAAAGTCCAAGGAAAGATTTTTTTACCTCAACATACAACTGCTCCACAATCACATTGCTTCCAGTAAGTGATGTCTTCAGCTGAACAATCAGTCTCTCCATCTCTCTGATTTCCAGCTTGATCAACTCGAATTCCAACGCCGTGTAAGATATGCTGGACTTCTCCATATGCTCTATCTTGACGGTTAAATTTAGCATCCTTTCTTCGTAGAGCTCAATTAATTTGGTGTACTGGCTCACCTATAAATATGTTAAAGAAACACAATCCGTTTGAGCCGAAGTCTCAAAGATTATTTTTCAAAAGATAAAAGTCTCGTTCCGGCGTCTATTTGGAAATCTCACGGAGATCAAAATACGATTACAGCAAGCTGAGCCCAGAAGCCTATCTAACACTGTCTTTATTTATAGACTAAAACTCATAGCAAAGATTACAGATATATATAAAAAACCCCGATAAAGTAAATAATCTCTAGAATAGGAAAAAGTGTTATCATCGATCAGAAACGTTCTTCCCGTTTTTGGTGACTGAATACTACTATTACCAAAAAAATAAAAAAATGCAGCAGAATGTCATAGAATTTTTATCCAAACCCTCCTGTGTTTTATTCCTTCATCTTCTTTTAGTTAATCTGATGAAATCCTCTCAGAATTATTTCCAACTCAGTGTAAGAGAGGGCTAGAGCTTTTGGGAAGAACTACCTCTGCCTAATGATGTCATGATGGATTACACTCAGGGCAATTGGCCATGAAATCTACAGCTCTATATCTCCACGACTTTCAGGTCAACAGTTTGACATGCAGCCTGAAGGATGGGAAGCAGCAGGCACGCCAGTCGTGCAATTGATCAAAGGGTACCCAAAGCACAGCTGGTTCAAGAGCTTTTCCTGGCCGAGATGTGGAACTGAATGATAGATACCTGTAGTCCATGCTCAGAGACTGGCTGGAAGGACAGTCAAATCATTTTTCAGTTCCACAGAGGGCCAGCTTCGTCTACCCCAACTCAAGTCCGGCAGCTTTCTTAGGAAATTAAGAGCAGCCTTACGTAGCATAGATCTCTGTCCTTCAAAAACCTCACTGACACCTCTCAGCATCTTCTGCCTTGGCTTAGACAACTGTCCCATTAGACCAAATCCTAAGACTGGACAAGATCCAGAGCTTTCCTGTTTACCAATTTTATGGGCCAGAGTTATAAGCACATGTTGTAAGACTCCAAGATTTGAGAGTCTTTCCAAAATCTGTCAGTTTTGTCCCCCTTTAAACTTCAGGTCACTCTATGGTGCTCTGGAAATGACTCCTATTTGTGAGGATCAGATGCTGGCTCAGGAATTCTGGGAGTTGAAGTCCACAAGTCATAAAAGGGCCAAGTTTGAAGACTCCTGTCTTAAATCTAACAAACAAAATGAAGGCTGGCTGAGGAATTCTGGGAGCTGAAGTCCACAAGTCATAAAAGGGCCAAGTTTGAAGACCCCTGTCTTAAATCTAACAAACAAAATGGAGACTGGCTGAGGAATTCTGGGAGCTGAAGTCCACAAGTCATCAAAGGGCCAAGTTTGAAGACCCCCAACCTAAGCATTTCTCCACCAGCAATCAGCACCCAGATCAGCATAGATTAACTCCAAGATTAACATCAGACCAACAATCAAGAAGCAAACAATACCACAATCAAGAAACTGCCAAAGAGCCAACAGTACACAGCCCACTTAAAGAATCTCTTAAGATCATCCTCACCAACACTGACAGGGCAAGACACCAGAATGTAAACTGAAAACAAACCCCACTTCTTACCAGCACTGATGATGTTACCTAGTTTGGGTAATGAAACGTCTGCAAGAAAACAAGCAATCTCAGAGAGCACCAAGGTCCCCTACCTCTAATAACAGGGGAAAAAATCTGAACAAATGGGAAATCCAAACCCTGCATATTTACCAGCATTGCACCATTCAGTTTTCCCATACACATGAAAATGCATGCCCAAGCCAGGTTTTGTACCATGAGTAAATCTCATATAGGAGAAGAATAGGTAGAGCCTGGAGTCGGAGTCAAGAGAGGAATCAGCCTGAAGTCATTAGTTGTCACAAACAACCTAAGTCTGGATGCTCTTGAATTCCCTTGACCCTTATCCAGCGCCATTTTAGTTCTGACCATTAGGTGACTAGATTTTTGGATATAGACTTGATCAAATAGATCATCTTAACCGGAAGTCAATGTGGTGGTCCTGATTCTTCGAACTGGATGTAACAACAACAACAACAACAATAAAGTTGGAAGGGACCTTGGAGGTCATCTAGTCCAATCCCCTGCTCAGACAGGAAACCCTATACCATTTCAGACAAATGGCTGTCCAGTCTCTTCTTAAAAACTTCCAGTGTTGAAGAATTCATAATTTCTGGAGGCAAGTTGTTCCACTGATTCTCCACTTATTCTCACTGTCAGGAAATTTCTCCTTAGTTCTAGGTTGCTTCTCTCTTTGGTTAGTTTGCATCCATTGCTTCTTGTCCTGCCTTCAGGTGCTTTGGAGAAGAGCTTGACTCCCTCTTCTTTGGGGCAGCCCCTGAGATATTGGAACGCTGCTATCATGTCCCCCCTCGTCCTTCTCTTCGTTAAACTAGACACAACCAATTCCAGCAACCGTTCCTTATATGTTTTAGCCTCCAGTCCCCCAATCATCTTTGTTGCTCTTCTCTGTACTCTTTCTAGAGTCTCAACGTCTTTTTTTACAACCTGGTGACCAAAACTGGATGCAGTATTCCAAGTGAGGCTTTACCAAGGCCTTGTAAAGTGGTATTAACACTTCACGTGATCTTGATTCTACTGTATCTCATCAGGGTACTTTAGACTAAACCCCCAAAACTTTGTTTTTTCTACTTTTCAGTTCACTTCCCTTCTGAGCAATTTCGACCACAGAATCAAACCCCAGAAACTGAGGTTTGTTAATGGATGGCAGTGTCAAGATAACAAATGGCATTAAGCACATCCTCAGCCAAGGGACTCTGGAGAGAGATTACAAAAGCAATATAGGACAAGTTGTAAGAACACTCCGCAACCTGGGGATGGCTGAAAAGACAGCTCTCCTTTTGGATAAAAGCTGTGTCCTCGCGTTCCTTTGTCTCCCAGCCATTTTCAAGAAGAGCGATGCGTTTATAAAAGACATCAATCTCTTGATTCTGCAAAGAATGGCTCCGACAGGGTGCTCATTCAGAGTGAAAAGTACATTAAACACCTCTTCCAAACAGTCTTAACCCTGAGATACAATGAGCAACCCTGAAAATTTTCTTACTTTTTTTTCTCCATATAAAAAAAATAGCCAAAATAAAATCAGTATCTTTCACACCACCACAGTGAAGCAACCTTAGAAAATCATGTTGGATAAAAGTCTATGGAAGTTCTCAGTCCTCCAGGTCACAGTTGTCCCAAAGGGGCTTTTTCAGGAGGCAACCGGACTTCCTTGTTTTTCTTTGAAGACATTTCGCTCCTCATCCCAGAAGCTTCTTCAGCTCTGACTGGATGGTGGGGAGCTGAAGGATTTATACTCCTTGCAGACAGTTGGTCATTTGCATCCTTTTAGAGAGTTGTTGAGGCCACCTGGAGGTTTATCTCTGTCCTTGGAGTCACCTGAGTGGTGCAAATGGGTGTGGAGCCTTTTTGGAACTGCTGAAAGGACTCTGTTGTAGACTGGATGACATCATCCATCGCCAGTCTACAACACAGGAACAGAACAGAACAGAACAGAAGATATAGAACAGAACAGAACGGAACAGAACGGAATGGAATGGAATGGAACGGAGCGGAACGGAAGAATAGAATAGAATAGAATAGAATAGAATAGAATAGAATAGAATAGAATGGAATGGAATGGAATGGAATGGAATGGAATGGAATGGAATGGAATGGAATGGAATGGAACAGAACAGAAAATATAGAATAGAATAGAATAGAATAGAATAGAATAGAATAGAATAGAATAGAATAGAATAGAATAGAATAGAATAGAATAGTAAATATGGAATAGAATAGTAAATATGGAATAGAATAGAATAGAATAGAATAGAATAGAATAGAATAGAATAGAATAGAATAGAATAGAATAGAATAGAACGCAATGGAACGGAATGGAATGGAACAGAAGAATAGAATAGAATAGAATAGAATAGAAGAGAAGAGAAGAGAAGAGAAGAGAAGAGAAGAGAAGAGAAGAGAAGGGACTTTGGAGGTCTTCTAGTCCAACCCCCTGCTCAGGCAGGAAACCCTATACCATTTCAGACAAAACTTTAAAAAAACTTCCAGTGTTGGAGCATTCACAACATCTGGAGGCAAGTTGTTCCATTGATTATTTGTTTTCACTGTCAGGAAATTTCTCCGTAGTTCCAGGTTGCTTCTCTCTTTGATTAGTTTCCATCCGTTGCTTCTTGTCCTGCCTTCAGGTGCTTTTGTGGCAACCCCTCAAATATCGGATCACTCCTATCATGTCCCCCCTCATCCTTCTCTTCATTAAACTTGACATGTCCAATTCCAGCCAACGTTCTTTATATGTTTTAGCCTGCAGTCCCCTGATCATCTTTGTTGCTCTTCTCTGCATTTCTTTGATGGAATTGGAAGATCGCTGAAGATCAAATTTGGTTGGACTTTGGGAAACACCTTTCTTCTGCCTCTACAAATGACCACCTCTGGGGACAACAGAAGGAGAGGAGACATGGTCCTTGGTCATCCCATTCCTGCTATAAAGTTATTGTTGTAGAAAAGTATTCCTGAGTCCGATTCCAGGCCCAAATGCACTCCGCTCTTGATTTATAGGACCAGATTTATCGGAGATATATTGCAAAACAGAACGTTATCTTTATTCTTCAAGGAACTATTGGGAAAATGAATGGCCAGGGCAGTCATTGACTAAAAGGAAGCAGCATGGCTATAGTTTTACTCATAAATCACCTTGCTAAGCTGTTCCCCATGTCAGCTCAATTCACTCCCTTTAGAAGTAATGCAGCTCACCTCTGAATTCAATGGGCTTGTATCTAAATGCTGTTCTACGCAATCAAGACTATTTCCTACTGCATAACTCACACAAGAAAGCATGTTGTTGTTAGTTGCAAAGTCATGTCCAACCCATCGCGACCCCATGGACCACATTCCTCCAGGCCTTCCTGTCCTCTACCGTCTTCTGGAGTCCATTGAAGCTCACGCCTCCTGTTTCAGTGACTCCATCCAGCCACCTCATTCTCTGTTGTCCCCTTCTTCTCTTGCCCTCCATCTTTCCCAGCATTAGGCTCTTCTCCAGTGAGTCCTTCCTTCTCATTAGATGGCCAAAGTACTTGAGTTTCAACTTCAGGATCTGGCCTTCTAAAGAGCAGTCGGGGTTGATCTCCTCTAGGACCGACCGGTTGGATCGCCTTGCAGTCCAGGGGACTCGCAGGAGTCTTCTCCAGCACCATAGTTCAAAGGCCTCAATTCTTTGGCGAAGAAAGCATGACTAACACCTAATTTTGAGGGAGTACATGGCAAAGGCACACACACACACATACACACACAAAAAAAACCCCTCAGGGTATCGCCATGTGTCACACTCTTGCCATCGCTTCCGACATACGGATCAAAACAAAAAATCATGTTTAACTTCCAGTAGACCGTTTCCAACTCCATCACCCCATTCTTCTTGCATGTGTGTGTGTGTGTGTGTGTGTGTGTGTGTGTGTGTGTGTGTGTTTCTTTCAAAACGGGTAAACGTCTCTCTGATTATACTACCAGGAAGTTATGAATATTTATGGCCAGAATTCATAATTGAGTGCTCTGTCTTTCCTTCTGATTAATTCAAGGACACCTCATTTATTGCTATGACGCCAAGTTGCTGGAGCAGTCAAACCCACTTCTCCGGGACACCTAATTGAGACTCTGCATATTTTTCATCACGCGGCCAATTTCAAAGGCTGGTTTTTCACTGGGAAGGGGGCCCTCCCCACCCCCTCCCCCCAGGCTTTCCGAAGATTGAAGAACTTGATAATTATTTATGGGTGGGTTTCTCCCTTGAATTTTGCAAACAACGGCCAGATTCACAGAGCAAACAACAGTGCCACATCTAACTAAGGAGCTTAGTTTTAATTCAAATTGGGTGATACAGGTTGGGTGAGATCTGCCTTAAAAACAGTAACTGTGAGAGGGACTTTGGAGTCCTAGTGGACGATCACTTGCCTATGAGCCAGCTGTGTGCAGCAGCAGCCAAAAAAGCCGATACAGTCCTGGGTTGTATAAACAGAGGCATAGAATCAAGATCACGCAAGATATTAGTACCGTTTTACAAAGCCCTAGTAAGGCCACACCTGGAATACCATATCACAAAAAAGATGTTGAGAGTTTGGAAAAAGTTCAGAGAAGAGCAACTAAGATAATCAAAGGGCTGGAGACTAAAACATACAAGGAACGGCTACGGGACTTGGGTTTGGCTAGTCTAAAGAAAAAGAAGAAATAGGGGTGACATGATAGCACTGTTCCAGCATCTGAGGGGCTGCCACAAGGCAGAGGGGTCCAGATTGTTCACCAGAGCACCAGAGGGAAGGACGAGAAACAATGGTTGGAAACTGACCAAAGAGAGAAGCACCCTGGAATTGAGGAGAAACTTCCTGGCAGCGAGGAGAATCAACCAGTGGAACAGTTTGCCACCAAAAATCATGGTGGCTCCATCACTGGAGATTTTTAAGAAGAGACTAGACAGTCACCTGTCTGAGTTGGTATAGGTTCTCCTGCTTGAGCAGGGGGCTGGACTAGAAGACCTCCAAGGTCCCTTCCAGCTCTATTCTATTCTATTCTATTCTATTCTATTCTATTCATTCTTTCTGTTCCATTCATTCTGTTCCGTTCTGTTCCATTCCAATCCATTCTATTCTATTCTATTCTATTCTATTCTATTCTATTCTATTCTATTCTATTCTATTCTATTCTATTTTCCTTTCCATTCCATTCCATTCCATTCTATTCTATTCTATTCTATTCTATTCTATTCTATTCTATTCTATTCTATTCCATCCATTTGTCCATCTATCCATCTATGCATCTATCTCTATCTGCCTATCTATCTATCTATCTGTCTGTCTATCTATTCTATACATATCTGTCTGTCTGTCTGTCTGTCTGTCTGTCTGTCTGTCTGTCTGTCTGTCAATCTATCTACTATTAAACTTTTATGCCACCCATCTCTCCCACAAGGTGACTCTGGATAGCTTCCAAGCTTGGCTTTCCTTGACGTTGTGATGACTCACAGGCAAAGATCTCTACACGGTCAGGTCTTTCCCATGCAAAACAGGCCCCCATGTCACCCTGATAGCATAAGAAATTAAGAGACCACATTCCTTCTCAGCTTCCCTTCATAAGAATCCCTACAACAATAAGGAAGCTATCTATGAAGCAAGACCTTGAAACACCTGATAAGGTCTACCTAAACGTCAAGGGCTTGCTACCCGATCTGCCATCCTTTGTCTCGGTCTCATCACAATAAAGGCTAAAGCCACTTACTTTTGAAAGTTCACTGTCAAATTTTGCTGAGAGCCGCTGAGCCAGAATTTCAAGGCTTTCCACCTTCTGTACAGGAAATGTTGTATCGGGCAAGTAAACTGAACATTGGCACATTCCACGGTCATCCACGACACCGGTCACATTGGTAAATGGCTGGAAAAAAAGATTTAAAAGAGGGAAGCGTCAGCAATCAGAGGCATTTCACTTTGTTGATGTTCACCCTTGGGGAAAACAGCCACAAATACTTAGAAACTTATTGAGACATAAATAAAAGCTACTCATAAAAAAAAAAAACTTGGGGAGAATAATGAGAGCCCCCGTTACATCACAAACTGTCCCTGATCTGAAGCTGTTCAAAGGATTCATGCTTTGCGGAATAACTCAAGTAAAAATCACGAAGCAAAACAGCCTTTTCCAATGAAGAATGCTTTTAAAATGATCGAAAGATGATAATGGAATCTACAGTAGTTAGTTTACTAGGTTTTTTTTCATTTTTGTTTTGGGTTTTTTTTTAAATTTTCTTTAAAAAAAAAAAAAAGATGTTCTTCCGGACTGGAGAATCTTGAGTTTTAATTGAAAACAACTTGGTATCATATATCTAAGTCAATTTACTGCACGGTGCTCTCACTTAGCTAGTCAATACTAAGCAGGCAGAGAAGAGGGGGGGACTTTAATCCATTATAATTGACTGAGAGAGAGAAAGAGAGAGAGAGAGAGAGAGAGAGAGAGAGAGAGCGCATCTAGCTGAACTCAGCTGCCACCTGGGGGGCCTAAGATCCTGATCGTTCTTCCTATAGATTTGATTTCTCTACTATTGCTTCTGCTCGGCTCAGCAGTTTTTCAGGCAGCCAAGAAAAACAGCCCTTGAAAGTTTGCATTGAAACAGCTTTGTAGTTTATTTTTTTTAATTAGTAATAATAAAGTTTAATATGTTTGTTCAGAAGAGAGCTAAAGGATGTTATAGAATTGTTAACTTAAGGGTGATATAATCTAAGACACAGTATAATTGTTGTATTGTTAACCCTGTGTGTGGCTCTGGGAAGTCGGGGGGGAGGGAGGGGGGAGGGGGGTTTTTGGGGAGGAGGGGAGTTATATTGTAAAACTTTTAAAAATTTTCAATAAAAAAAAAAGAAAAAAAAGAAACAGCTTCGTGATATCTCTGATGGCCACGGGCGTCCTTGTGTGGACGCTTGTAATTCCTCATTAGCCAATTCCAGACTGCAGGAAGCAGGTAGTCCTCAAGGGAACTGGACTTTCCTGTTTTTCTTTGAAGATGTTTCACCTCTCATCCAAGAAGCTTCTTCAGCTCTGACTGGATGGTGGGGAATGGAAGGATTTATACTCCTTGAAGACAGCTGGTCATTTGTCTTCTTTTAGAGAGTCATTAAGGCCAGTTGGAGGTTTATCTGTGTCCTCAGGGACACCTGAATGGTGCAAATGGGTGTGGAGCCTTCTTGGAATTGCTGAAAGGACGGTATTGTAGACTGGAGATAGAGGATGTCATTTATATTTATATTCCTTGCAGATGGCTGGTCATTTGCCTTCTTTTAGAGAGTCGTTGAGGCCACCTGTGTTGTCAGGGTCACCTGAGTAGTGCAAAACAGCTCCAAGAAGGCCCAGCACCCATTTGCACTACTCAAGTGACCCTGAGGATACCTATAAACCTTCAGGTGGCCTCAACAACTCTCTAAAAGAATGCAAATGACCAGCTGTCTGCAAGGAGTATAAATCTTTCCATTCCCCACCATCCAGTCAGAGCTGAAGAAGCTTCTTAGATGAGAAGCGAAACGTCTTCAAAGAAAAAACAAGAAAGTCCAGTTGCCTCATGAAAAAGCATCTTTCGGATAATCGTGACCTGGATGACTGAGAATCTCCACAGAGTTTTGTTTTTCATTGGGTTTATAAGGGGGAACAAGTTCATGGTGAAGAAAAAAAAACTAGATTTTCTTTCTTTTTTTTAATGACCCTGTAATCCCTTTTATCAGGTGGAGACAGGATGATTGAATGGAGCTGAGCGTTTACTCTCTGGATGCCCTTCCTGATGCCTATGCAGCGTTCGCAGCAATATTTTCTCTTTGCGCCCTGATAGAGAAACATCTGCCACTGCCTAGAATTCAACTCTCAACCTTCCCATCGGGAGGCGAGTGTCTTCACCTCTAGGCCACTGCACCACTCCAAAAAATAACCCCTAGATATTAGGTAATTCCCAAGTATTCTGTGATTCGTAATTATATAATTAACCCTATTTACTATTGAGCTGTTTTATGTTGGGAGGGGGAAAAATCTAGTTTACATCTCTGTTCCCTGAGGCTGAACATGACTTTCAGGCTCCAGAAAGTTCTTTGAGGGTTGTCTCTCCTTCCCCGACCGGTTTCTGAAGAATTTGGTTAAAATGCAATTAAAAGGAAATGTACATTTTACTGATTCGAAAAGTAAAACTTGAATGTTTCCAGAGATTGGAAATTCAAAACAAAAAGGAAATACTTCTGTTCTACATCTAGTTAATTTTCTACATCTAGTTAATTTTATACCTGGTCCTAGTGGTGCATTATCACCTGAAAAGTAATCACGTAACTGTTTTGGAGAAGAGTTGCTACTAGAAATGTGTAAAACCCTTCAAACTCAAAATATTTTGAGCTCAAACTCCTTCCATGATCTAAATTTTTACTGGTCACCTAAATTTTTACTCAGTCCTATTCCTATCTACCCTGACCAGTCCTAGAGGAGATCAACCCTGACTGCTCTTTAGAAGGCCAGATCCTGAAGTTGAAACTCAAGTACTTTGGCCACCGAATGAGAAGGAAGGACTCACTGGAGAAGAGCCTGATGCTGGGAAAGATGGAGGGCAAGAGAAGAAGGGGACGACAGAGAAGGAGGTGGCTGGATGGAGTCACTGAAGCAGTAGGCATGAGCTTCAATGGACTCCAGAAAATGGTAGAGGACAGGAAGGCCTGGAGGAACGTGGTCCATGGGGTCGCGATGGGTCGGACACGACTTCGCAACTAACAACAACAACAAATACCTACCTTCTTGAGTTCTTTTTTTCCTCCTTAAAAAAGATAAGACAGAAGTGAAGAAGCTTCTGGGTTGAGAAGTGAAATGTTTTCAAAGGAAAAAAAAACAAAAACAGTTGTCTTTGAAGAAAAGCAACTTTGGGACAACCATGACCTGGAGGATGGAAAATCTCCACAAACAAATCAAAATGGTCCTTGCTAAATAAATATATATATGTATTTGGGGTGCATGAGATTGCAAACAGGGTTTGCCTTAGTTCAGTGATGGCAAACCTTTTAGAGACCGAGTGCCCAACTGCAACCCAAAACCCACTTATGCATCGTTGGGTGCCGGGTGGGTCTGGCCCATTGGCTGGGTGTGGCCAATTGGCTGGGTGTGGCCCATTGGGTGGGTGTGGCTGTGGTGGTCACGGCAGACTGGGTGGGACTAAAAAGTTCAATCAATCAATTCCAACTTTGCAAGATCTTTTTTTTTCCTGCGAGAAGTTGAAATTGACTGATTGATTGAACCTTTTTTTTTATTTTTGCACATGGCAGTGGAGGCCTAAAGTGAAAAGGTTTTATAAAACCCAGCTGAAGGTCTAGGACTGGGGCAATGGCGCGCGTGCCCACAGAGGGGGCTCTGAGTGCCGCCTCTGGCACCCGTGCCATAGGTTCGCCACCACTGCCTTAGTTCATCTCCGATGGATTTTGGAACTAACCAGTGCAAGAGTCTCTGGACATTCTCAGTCATGGTTGTCCCAAAGGTGCTTTTTCAAGAGGCAACTTGATTTTTTTGGGGGGTGGAGGTTCTTTGAAAACATTGTACTGGTCATCCAAGAAGCTTGTTCAGTTCTCTTTTTTTTTTTTTTAAAGGAAAAACAAAGAAAACTTCTTTGGGACAAGCACTGTAAGAGTTTCTGCAAAAGGTTTTTTACTTAGTTGTCTTCGGTATTAGTGATTTATAAAGGCACCTCACCTTCATGGTGTCACCGTTAAGGCTTTACACGTTAGTGATATATCAACACGGTGATGGCTGGGTGATGCTATAAATCAGCGCTGTGGATTGCCGCTTAGACGTATTTAAAAATAAAATTAGACAAAGCCATTGAGGAGATCAAAGGTTTAAGCCATCATCACTGAAGAGAATAAGAGAATAACAGAATAACAGAATTGAAAGGGACCTTGGAGGACTTCTAGTCCAGCCCTCTGCTCAAGCAGGAAACCCTTTACCATAGATAGATAGGTTAGGTAGGTAGGTAGGTAGGTAGGTAGGTAGGTAGGTAGATGGATGGATGGATG